TTTGCTAGGGAGCGTCAGCGTTTAGAAGAAGGACACTGCAGCGGGGGAAAGCCTGGCTAGCGATGTGGAAAGGGGTTTCTAGGAAGATTTGAGGCCCAACTCTCATTTCTGCTGATATTTATTTGATTACATGATTAATAGAAAGCCAGAGGGACAGGTAGACTGGGGAAAAAGACATATTGAGTTGTTGGATAGTCATTGGATAGCTTTATGTCAGAGAGCAGGCAAGAGTGGGTATAGCACAGAGAAAGGTGAGGGAAGATAGATTAAAGTCGCTCTATTACTGTTTTCTGCTGCTTTACCAAGACATACAAAGCTGGGTATTTTATAAAGAAAAGAAGTCTATGTGGCTGACAGTCTGGGAATTTGAAAGTCCAAGACTGGGCAGCCTCATTGTTTTTAGCCGCTGGTGAGGGTTCCCTTGGCCACATCAGGACATTGTAGAGAAGCATCTATATGAAGAAGATACAAATGATTGGGGTGACCTTGCTTTCAAACACCTCACTCTCAAGAACTAACTGGAGTCCCACAAGCAAAATGCCTTTTTGAAGGCAGAGTCCCAAATGAACAACGAACTAATCACCTTCTATTATGTTCTACCCCTTGAAGGTTCCTTTTTTTATTTTTTAGAAGAAGCATTTCATTACAGCTTTAACATGCTCAATAACAATTTCCAGAGCAAAGATACATCTCTTTCAAAAGTGGCTATAAAATTTTTAGGTTCCTTTATCTCAACACCACCACACCAGGGACCAAGCCTTTGGGAAACTTACACAAACCATATTCACACTGTAGCAGTTGGAGAGTAGAGATCAAAGTTTAGAATTTAAAAATAGGCAGAAATACAGATGTTGCCAGAGTCCAGAGAACAGCCATGGGGACTGGATCAAATGGTCACTGGGATAAGAAATCAAGAGGAGATTAGGTCCCAAAGTCATTGGAGCACGAGATCAAGAACTATTGAGAATAAGATGTTAAGTCAATGCGAAATGCCTTGTGACCTCAGGAGGTGGAGACAAAGGGACAGTTAGCCATTTACTGACATCCCTGGCTGACAAGAGCATGTGGTAAGGGGCACTTGAATGACATTTTCCCTCAAGAGTTTTAGCATGAGAATTAAGTAGCATAGAGGCGTAGAGATGGATAAAGGTGCTTGCCACACAAACATGAGAACCTGAGCTTGAATCCCCAGAACAGATGTAGAAGCTGAACCTGTGTGAGCACCTGTAATTGCAGGAGATGGGAGATAGGAACAGGAGAACTCCTGGACGCTCCTGGGCCAGCCAACCTGGAGTATGCAGTGAAAAGCCAACCAAAACCCTCAATAAAACAAATGCAGAGACCCATGTTTGAAACAAGGTTAAAGGTGAGGATTGACCCTGCAGGTCGGGAGACGGGAGATAGGAACAGGAGAACTCCTGGACGCTCCTGGGCCAGCCAACCCGGAGTATGCAGTGAAAAGCCAACCAAAACCCTCAATAAAACAAAATACAGAGACCCATGTTTGAAACAAGGTTAAAGGTGAGGATTGACCCTGCAGGTTGTCTTCTGGTCTCCACATGGATGTCATGACATGCACATGCCTGCATGCACACACATTTTACGTACACAAACACATTTAAAAATATTTATTATTTTTATTATTTTATGTGTATGAATGTTTTGCCTGCACGCATGTAAGTGCACCCATTTTGTGCGAAGCCCACAGAGGCCAGAAGAGGTTGTCCCCTGGAACTGGAGTTATGGAAGATTGTTAGCTGCCATTTGGGTGCTGGGAATTAAACCCTAGTCCTTTGGAAGAACAACAAGTGTTCTTAAACACTGAACCATCTCTCTAGCCCCCCCCCCCAATTTTAAAATAAATAATTAAGTGGCACAAAGCTGGATGTGGCATTGGGGATGGAGAAAATACAGAATGCCTTGAAGTCCACACATGGGGTGGGGTGGTGGGAAGAGAGATGCAAGACCAAGGCAAGAAAGGAGAGTAGATGGGAGGAGGAAAGAGGCAGGAGGGGCTGTAGGGATGGGGAGAGAGACCGAAATGGGGGTAGGGACGAATGAGCTTCCGACAGACCACACTGCTAGAACATGTCAGAGGAGAGGTACACTAAATGGCTAATGTTGTAAGAAACAGCTTTTTAATTGCGCTTACATTTTTATTTTTGTAGAGAACTGCAGAAAAGGTTCAAATAGTTCTCAGAATTATTAGCTAAAATTATTTCATCTCATTAGTTTGTTGTTATTTGATATCGTGCTTAGCATAGTGCCTGGCAAGCCAAACTCTCCAACAAATGGCAGCCATTATTGTCATAAGTGTTGTTTCATGTATGGGCGTGCGTGTGTGCGTGTGTGCGTACGTGCAAGTATGTGTGTGTGTGGGGGGGGTGTGTGTATAGGAGCTGGGACAGTGAAGCTGAAAGTGAAGGAGACCTTAGCAGGGAGAAGTAGTCTGAGGAGCCTTCCCTAGGGCGATGGCTCAGAATGGAGGAAAGAGTGTGGAAAGGACAGGAGGAGGCGGGAAGGAGGGACTTGTTTGGAATGACCGATGTCAAGTTCAGATGGGGGAGAGGCTATGGAGTTGGGTTACCTCCAGGATAGTGAAGGATGTCTCTGGGGCCTGTGTTGGTGTAAGCTTGGTCAGTACTGACCTGGCGCTATGGCCAGTGTTAGCAGGGCTTTAAAATGTATGTTCTGGGAAAAGTTGTAGGATATTTTTAAATTTATGAAGAGCCTTAGACATCACTTAATTCAGCTCTTTCTATGGCAGGTTAGGCAAATATGACTCCAAAATGCTCAGTGTTTTACTTAGCATCAGGAAGCCCATGCCAGGTGAAAACTTGTTATATGTTCAAGGTGACTTAGATTCTCACACCATAAACTTTATTATTTTTGAATTTCCTAAATGAATACAATGTATTTTGATCACACCCATCCCCCCTCCAACTCCTCCTGGATCCTCACCCACCATGTTCCCCTCCCAACTTCATGTCTTTTTGTTAAAAAAAAAACCTCATGGAGTCCAGTTAATGGTACCGGTATGTTCATGGGTGTGGAGTCATTCACTGGAGGATGGACAACCTACCAGGATTCACACCCATGAAGGAAAATGACTTGAGGAGAGTATTTTAGATTCAAATAATTATGATGCATGCTGATTTGAATGCCTAATTTATATATTGCTATCTACAGTTTAGCTTGTTTATGTATTGTAAAATCTTTCTTTTCATGGAGTTGTTGAAATTGAAATATTAAAGTAGTATATTAGCATATATTAAGAATTTAAAATATCTCTATTTCTTGATTTTTGCTTAAATGGTTTACATATTATTATTATGACCTATTACTAATTTATTATAATAACTATATAATTAAATAAGAATGAGAACTAATTGGTGAAACATGTTTTTATTTTCATATGTAAATAAAATGATTCTCCCAAATATTTTACATAAAAGAGGAAACAACAATATGTTTTATAGTTGAAAGTTGCTGAGGTAGATTTTAAGTGTCATCACAACAAAAAATGGTTTGTGATGTTAATTTGATTTATCCACTTCACAATATGTACATATTTCAAGACATTATGTTGTATAAAAAAGATACATATGAGTATTTGTCAATCAAGATAAAAATAGTACTCGTAAAAGAAATAAAAGCTGTTCCTTTAAGAAGCATGTGCTTAATTAAACAAATCAATTTACTTGTAGTCCTTAGGTCAGAAGCTAAACGTTGTGTTTTCTTAAGGCTTTGAAGACTCTGGTTGATCCCATGTTGGCGGCCATGCTTTCCACTTCCCTCTATTTCCACCAGGGGGCGGTGCTCGTCTTCAAATGGTCGTTGCTCAGGCGGCTAGGACAGAGCCTTGGCTTCGGCCTGGGTCAGGTGTCAACTGGAAGTGGTTAATCCCCTCAACATCATTTTTTTAGTTCCAGTATATAAGACCAGGTTGCCTTGCATTGATAGTGTGCTTTACAGATTCCAAAGGGATTTCTTGTGCATCATGTGACTCTCAAGAAAATTAGGAAAAGAGAGATTTCCTTTGCTCTTTTTCAAAGATGAAGAAACGGACAGAACAATCTTTTCAAGGACACACAACATAAAACTGGATGAATAAAACCCAGGATGGGCTTTACGACTTAGTGCTCAGTGCTGTGGTCTTTTCAGATTATATAATTATTTAGGATCACATAGAAAAATAAGTCAAACAATGACCAAATTCCTCTTTAATGAAAAATATATTTCTTACAAAACCCTTTTCAGAGTTTCAAGTTAATATGGGAATAAAAGTTTTGGCTACATTTATAGCCAAACACTTTATTGGCCAATAAAATGTTATTCATTTGTTCACTCAAGAAATATTTAATGAGTACCTATTATGTGCCAGGCACTGTGCTAACAGCAGGTAATACAGAAAGAAAAATGAATGCCATCATAGAATTGACTTTTATTTTAGTGGGGATGCAGTCCCAAGTAAATAACCATAAAATAGAAATTGCGTTAAAAAATATTGAATGTGCCAGGTGTTGTGGCGCAAGCCTTTGATCTTGGCACTTGGAAGGCAGTCTCTGTGAGATTGAGGCTAGTCTGGTCTACATAGTGAATTCCAGGCCAACTAGAGCTATAGGAAGATCCTGTCTCAGTTCCCCCTCCCCTCCCCCATGCTTCAAAAAATTAGGGAAGGAAACAGTATAAAGTTATTGGGGGAAGACTTAATTTGGATTGTGGTAAGCATTTAGAGAAATGACATTAAACAAATACAAGAAAGATGAGAAAACATTGTCCAGGCTGGGATACGGAAAGGCATTCTAAGAAAGGAAGAAAATGTAATTATGAATAAAATATTTACATGTAGCCCTAGGGGCTGTTAATTCATTGTTTGTTATTGTAAGTCACTTGAACACTTTAGAATGAAAAGAGTCTTTAAGCTAATAGTTCTGGGGGCCAAGGTCATGGTATTGTCCTCTGGGAAGAACTAGATGGCACTGTGTTAATTTTGGACAATTTAAATAGCACCTGGCAATGTCTAGCTATGGTAAGGGTGGGGGATGGGGAAAAGGAAGGGACAAGAGTCAAGGATGATTCCTGTGGAAGGAAAATAATACCCTCTAGGGAAATCTACACCCAAATGATCAGAAGCTGTGGATATACAACCTTACACAGAGAAAAGGACTTTAGGATATGATTCAGGATAAGAAATAATGATTCTGAAGACATTTTCTTATATGAATAATAGCTGTGAGGTTGGGTCTTGCTTCAGCGTAACATTTATAAACATGACCCTGATTGTTCTAGAATTCCCAACATTTTAATTATTTAGTTTCTACCATCCTCCAGGGATTAGTTCAAGAGCTGCATCTTCTAATGACCTTCAGTGACATGCCATTCTGATTTGAATACCATGCACTCTGTTCATAATCTTTAGCTCCTGATGTACATATCTTCTATGGCATAAATTCCAGGAAATGGCTGTGTCTTCGTCAACTTTTTATTTTCACGGTCTAACATATTGCATTACATATTTTTCTCAATTGTGTTTGCCAAATGAATGAATGACTCTTATCCCCTGAATTAAGTTCTCAGGAATTTAAAATTTTTCCTTCTTCCTGGCAGAATTCTGGGATTGGTTGTACTGAATGGTTTTACTGTTGATGCCAACTGTACATCAAACCCCTGACATGGCTGAGCAGCTTTGTCCTTTCTCTAGCTGTTGTCTCTGTTGTAACTTTCCTCTACTTTATTCAAGGTGGGGAGTGTTCTTTATTGAACCAATGCTTATAGTTTGTATTAACTCCTTAAAGGAACTGTTCATTTAAATCCTTACCTTTTATCTTGATGACAGAGAAACAAGGAAACAAACAGCTCAAGTGATTTAACTGAATGGCACGTGAATAGTTTTGTCCAGATTCACAAGTGTCCCCACTGGTTACAATCCAATCTCAGGCTTTTAAAAGCACCTACTGGGAGTGGGGCTGCTATTACTGGAGACCTAAGCTTGGGGACATCCATTAACAGAGTTTGGACACTCTCCATGGAAGAAGCACTGACAATGGAGAGCCAGGAAAGTTTCTAGGACATGGGTGTCATGAATACTCTGCCTTTTTGGATCAAAGGAATTTTTTTAAATTTAAATTTTGTTTATAAGTTACTTTGAAATGATCATACATTAATTGTACAAAGTAATTGGTTTAGTGATAATATTTTTTTGATTCTTAACCCCCAGCATTTCTGGGTTCACTTGGGAGGTATTGCATTTACTCATTTGGACATGACTCACTAATTTTATGGCTCAACCAGCACTTATTGGGCTTTAACAATTTGTGTTGAGAACTGTTAGGGCTGGGTTTACAGTGACAGGGAAGGCAGAGCGAGTGCTCATCTCACTGGTATTACAGTCTAGTTTAGATTTGCACCAGGAAGCAATCTAGTATCGCAAAACATTCTCAAAGTACATACATTGACAAAGTTTCTCCTGTAGGGACTCTTGATATGAAAGGAAAGCCTGGTTCTCAATGTCTGAGGTAATGCCTAGACACATTTTCGAAGGTATGTTGTATAACAGAGAAAGTAGGGTCATCTCCTCAGTAGTGTCCCACACAAATGGTTAGGAATTGGGCCTCACATCTTGAGAAACACTGGAGCTCAAATCAAGAAGGACACTGAAGGTTGCTGCTTAGTGGACATGGGCAATCCAGAAGCCCACCAGAGAATATAAGGTAGCACTAGGGGCACATATTAACTCCAGCTATGCACCCTGGCCCCACAATACTCCCAAGTGGAGTACTAAGTAATTCCATTTGGGTTCTTACAGGTTGAGAGATGTAATTCAGTCTATACTGAAAGAACCAGGTCTTTAGTATTGATCACTAGGCAGTGTTGAGGAAAATAGATTTAGAATTGGACACACTAGCATCACCTGACACCAAGTAATTTTGTTTTAGGCATTTCTGTTGGGCTGGTTGATTTTTGTTGGACTTCTGTTGGAAGTTATCTTTTAAACAATATAGAAGAATTGAGAAGTGACATAATAATCAGAAAAACAATGGGGTCAGGCATAGGTGAGAAAGAATCAGAAAATTTGAGGCTTCCTTTTATGTGGGGGATCTTACTTGAAATTATTTCAAAATTTCCAAGACTGAAATAATTGAAAGTCAGAGAGGTGGGAGATTCCCACTCATTGTGTATCTTTAGGAAAGTAAGAATGGAGATTTATGTTTTTTTTTCACTCAGATTATGCATATTGGTAAACATACCCACAAAGTTAAATAATAATTCTGACAAATTTAGATAAGTTTGCATCAGTAAGAAAGTTTATTGAAGTTCATTAGTAAATGAGAACAGAAAGTTTTCTTCTTCTTTTTTCTCCACAAAAGAACACTTTCTGGTACAGTGAAAAGAAGAAATACAGAAATCACAAAACACCTTTTAGACACCTTATTTTCAAGGAGTGAACCTATTTTCATAGACCATCAAGACTGAAGTGTTTTCCACACATCTGCAGAATGGCCTGTGTGAAGAGACTCTGTTCGTGTAGTTTAATAGAAGTGTTTCTTGGTTTCTGATTCAACCATAGACGAAAGGACTCTACCATCAGGTGTCAACTCCTCAATAATCGTCTTGATCACTCTGGTTTTGTTAGTATCTGTAAATTAAAAAAACATTTAGAATGTAGATGAAACGACTTGTAGGGATCCTAGCTAACTAACGAGCTACTAGTTTTAAAAGTCATACTAAGTATTTTAAAAGGAAAAATAATGCAACTTTTCCACTTGTTAAAAACAAAACAAACCAAACCCAAGCAACGTTTAAGCTGTAAGTGGCATTTAAATCACGCTATTTTTCTTTCCAGATTGGGGTCGAGTAGAGTTTGTTAAAAAACACAAATGAAAACTTCACCCAAGATTTTCATTTAAAAAAAGCCCAGAAGCTCTTGAGAGCCAAGAGCCACCATACAGAAAGTTAAAACTAATTCTGATTACCCCAGCTAGTTTCTGCTGACCTTGGTCCCTTAGACGATTGGTCGCCAGCGGACCCGGAAGAAGAAGACTTGAACCCTCCGCTTCCGCTCTGGCCTCCGCTCGAACTTCCGCCGCCGTAGCTGCCGCCGTGACCGCCACCGGAACTACCCCCGAGGCCTCCACCGGAACTGCTGCCGTGGCCGCCGCCGCTGGAGCTTCCGCCGCCGTAGCTGCCACCCTGGCCGCCACCGGAACTGCCTCCGTGGCCGCCGCCGCTGGAACTTCCGCCGCCGTAGCTGCCGCCGCCGCCGCCACCGCGTCCGCCGCCATAGGATCCGCCTCCGGAGCTAAATGGGGTGGCAGGGTTATATTTGGTCATTTCCAGCCTTGGAAGGGCGGGTCCCTCGTCACAGTATCATTTTAGAATATGTGTTTTGAGAAAATACAACCCTGCCAGGTATGTGTATTAAAACATCCTCGGAAACATAACACAAAGATCATTCTTGGGGCAAATCCCTGGGACAAGACTGCTCCCCTTTCCGGTCCTTTCCCCTCCTCCATCGTGTGGCATTTTCTTGGGGTTTGGGCAAGCTTTGCCATCCGGAATGAAGAAGGAAAGTGACTGAGATAACTTGGTGTACCTTCCCTCTCCTTCCAGCAGGCTGCGGTAGGTCTGGATCTCGTTCTCCAGTCGGATCTTGATGTCTAGGAGTTGTTGGTATTCAGAGTTCTGGCACTCGGTCTCAGCTCGAATCTGTTGCAGCTGTTCCTCCAGGGCGGAGATCTGGGCCTGAATCTGAGAGAGCTGCACGCAGTAGCGACCTTCTGTTTCTGCCAAGGAGGCTTCCAGGGATTGTTTCTGAGAAGAAGAGATTAAGTGAAATGACACATGGAAATTATCCAACGAGTCATCATAGAAGGAGAAAGAAAACGAATAGGATTTGTGTTTGATGTCAGCCCTGTGGTTTTATCACTTTTGTCTTAGTGCTGATAGTTCTTAACCGCCATAAACAGTTCAGTTTTCATTCTATTTTCTTGCCTCTATTTCCATATGAGCATGAAATGTAGTGGGGTTAAAATGGCAATAATTCCACAAGATTTAACATACCAGGGCCAGTTGGGACTGTAGTTCGATCTCTAGACCTTGAACAGTACGTCTCAGTTCAGTAATTTCGCTTTTGTGACTGGACATTTGTTCAATGTTGCTGTCGATTTCTGTAGTGAGTTCCTTGCTCTAGAGGATTAAAAACAGGAAAAGATGAGTGATTCTAGCAGATAACAGCATCCCCACGAGCTTCCCTGAGCAGTCATTGACTTGCCTTCTCGTTGAACCAGGCTTCTGCATCCTTGCGATTTTTTTCAGCGAGTTGTTCGTACTGGTTTCTCATGTTATTCAGAAGTTGAGTCAGATCAACACCTGGAGCAGCATTCATTTCCACATTCACATCACCAGTGGACACGTTTTGAAGATCTCTCATTTCCTGTTTGAGGAACAAATAGATTTAATGAATGCATGTGATCAAAATGAACATTTTTTGTTTTTTGAGGGGAGCGGGCTGGTTGGAATGTAATTGGGTGTCACCTCTTCGTGGTTCTTTTTCAGGTAGGCTAGTTCTTCAGTCAGACTTTCAATCTGCATCTCTAGGTCAGCCTTGGTGAGGGTCAGCTCGTCTAGCACCCTTCGCAGGCCGTTGATGTCGGCCTCCACGCTCTGGCGTAGGGCTACCTCATTCTCATACCTGAAAGGAGCATAATGCAAACCACCCATGTAACACCCGTAATGAAGGCATACCTGGACAAAGACGGCTTAAAATGAAATAGTAGATTTGATTCCGTGTCATGGCAACACTTGTAACACACCAACTCATATAGGGATATTCATGGTTTAATTAAAAGAAAGCTGTTACTTTAAAACACATCTTCCTTTAAAAAAGTTATTACGAGCTGGATGTGGTGGTGCAGGCCTTTAATCCCAGCACTTGGGAGGCAGAGGAGGTGGATCTCTGTGAGTTCAAGGCCAGCCTGGACCCCATAGTGAATCCAGGCCATCTGTGGCTACAGGGAGACACTGTCCCAAAAAGACCCCCCCCAAAAAGTTATTATTACAATTGAAAATGTCTTAGACAACCCGATACTGTTTCACTCTGTATAGTTTAGGAAAATGTAAACTCTGTTGTGGGCAACCAAAGTAGTTGTTAAAAGCAAGTGCTGTGTTTGTGGTGACTGTATTGTCACACGTTCAGTTAGCTTACTTCATCCTGAAGTCATCAGCTGCCAGCCTGGCATTGTCGATCTGCAGCAGGACATTGGCGTTGTCAGTTGTCAGGGTGAGGATCTGAAGGGAGAGGCATAAGTCATTAAAAGGTGCAGGTGTACTCGTGACTTTTAGAGTGGCATAGGCGTACTGCATCTTTAGATAGCTCTCTTCCAAAATCTTTTTGGAGAGTATTTTAAGGTATTTTCAGCATAAAATATTATAAACTTACCCACGTTCTTAAATTTTAGTCATTAAAAAAAAATCTTGACATGTTGGTGCTAACTGGAATTGGGTAGGTATGTTCCTTCACATGTGTCCTCTTCTACAGTTTATGATTTGCATGTGCTTCAGCTAAGTTTTCAGTGACTCACAGCTGTTATTTAATTTACTATAAATAATTCTAAGTACATATACTCTGAATTCAGAGGTACAATTATCAGATTCTCTAGAGGCAAGCGGTACCTCAAGCAAGCAGTATAGAATTTGGACTTCTTGAAATACTGGTGCTGGAGATGCCTAACTTCTCAATCTTTGTTCTTTTTCATTTAAAATTCTTTCAGTCTCTAACTTTGTATATTATTTAGTCTATTTTACCTGTGGACCAACTAAACACTTTATTAGTGGTCTGCCATTCTGTAAGACAACAGCATGCTGGGTGAAATTGACATGATCATGCTGTCACAAATAACTTACTTTTTTTTGAGAATAGGTTATACTTGGAAGAAAATGACAGGTATGCACAGCATTCAGCCCTATTACACTTAACATTGATTATGTGCATTATATAAAATGCTCCTTACCTGATTTTTAAGTTCTTCAATGGTCTGGTAGTATTTGCTGTAGTCACGGGGCTCCCGCTGGCCTGCGTTACCGTGCTTTTCATACCACTCCTTGATCTTACCCTCCAGCTCATAGTTTGACTCCTCCAGCGCACGGACTTTGTCCATGTACGAAGCCAGACGGTCATTCAGATTCTGCATGGTTACTTTTTCATTTCCGGACAGAAGGCCACCATCTCCTCCTCCGTATCCACCACCAAAGCCTCCTCCGTAGCCGCCTCCACCGAAGCTACCCCCACCGAAGCTGCTACCTCCAAAGCTGCCTCCTCCATAGCCCCCGCCAAAGCTGCCTCCTCCAAAGCCTCCACCAAAGCTGCCTCCACCAAAACCTCCTAAGCTTCCTCCATAGCCACCCGATGAGCCCCCGAAGCAGCCTCCACTAGAGCTCCCACGGCTGAAAGAGCCACCACTGAAGCCCCCTGAGCTAAATCCTCCACCATGGGAGACTTTGCTGTTCGAAATTCTGAGGGATGATCCTCCTCCTCCTCCTCCTCCTCCGCCTCCACTGCGGGAGGAAGAGAACTGTTTGCTGGTGCTGTATCGAACAGACATGGTGATGCTTGGTAGCTCAGGGACTGCCTGCTACCAAGGACAGTGACAAGCCTTTATATACTGAGAGGGTGTGTCGATACATGTCAGGCTTTGCTTACTTGTATGGTTTTCTTTTTGCCAGCTTAGCATCTTTGACTTAATGATTGCATAAATTATCTTTAGTAATAACCAATACCAATATGTATGCTTTTAAATTTGCCTTAAGAACAAACAGAAGATTTGTTATGTTGAAATGGAAAATGGGTGGAGTTCAGATGAGTATGTTTCATTATGCCTTTCACCTTTTGAAGAACATTGAGTAACTATTGAAATCAGTTGTTTCCAGTGTTAATTTACATTGTACCCAATGTTTGCAAAGTTTGAAAAATAAAATAATTTTGTCTGCAAATTATGCCTAAAAGAAGATTTTTCAAATTCATGTTCTAAATAGCTTTAAGAATTGGAACAATAAATGACACAAATTGTGCTGGAGTCATTCTGTAATAAGGATCTTGAAACTCAGCAAACAAAAAGAAAATTAAAATATGCTAAACAATTCTGTTAATGTTGAAAAGTTACCACATATAAGAAATGAGAGGCACAGAACTACAGTTCAGGAAATGATATATATTGTGTTTGTAGAGATTCTCTTATTTAGAGAATTTTTATTTGGAGAATGAGGTTAGATTTATATTTTTGCCAGGGAAACTGTACATTAATAATGGCTAAGGGACCATCAGGTCTAATGATGCTGTTCTTTTAAACATTATGATATCATGAAGTTATTCTGGGTTGTTTTATACTTTTCAACTCATGGTTAAGTTTTATGTGAAGATCATGATGTAGAAATTCTAAACACAAGAAGCGAAGAACTAACTACTTTCTAAAGCTCTGATAGATTAAAAAGGGAGAATTTAGATCTGTTTTGATTGCAAGGCACATTTTTCTTGTAATAATAAAAATCCAGATTAAAGGATACTCGTTTCAGAATTTATAACCAGACTTGCACATATATTCCAAAGCCGAGTTTTGTTTCACAGTAAACAAACAACACATACTCTTAGATACACGGAGCACAGAGTTTGGTACAATGGTTTGTTTATCTAGTAAAGTATTTAATTGGGACTTTAATGGGATTTTACATGATATGAAATTATTTTATATCCACCCATAGGCTATGACATCGCTCTTGTTAAAAGATACTACATATGCACTTACACATGTAGATTCACACATTTTATAATTATGAAGTGCTTTTGTGGTGGGTGATTTTAAAATCTCTGGAATAACCTGCTGATATAAGCTGAGCACCTTACTATCTCAAAGTTTTGTTTCAGGAAGGTGACGATGAGAAAGGTGATGATTTTTCCTGAAGATGCATGATACTGGTTGAACTAGAATTAGAAGCTCAGTGGACTCTTGGATTTGGCTCTTTCCTACTATACCGATGTAGACACATAGCCTCCACTGTGGTGGATTTGTTGTTGCAGAGCTGAAGGACTCCAGTTCTTAGCACATGCTTCTCCCCCAGGCAAAAACACAAAACGAAAAGAATGGAATCATGAAAAATATCAAGAGGGTAGGGATTTGGCATGCATTCGTCCATTAGTAATTGCTTTTCCAAATTAACCTAACTACACAATTTCAGTTTATGAAAGCTGTAGAAATAGTTTCTGCAGGGAAAAGGAATGTGCTCGAGCGCACTGGTGAAGACTGGCTTGTTGGAAGGTTACTACCCAAAGAACTGCTCCTGCAACTTGTTAGCACATGCAAGTAGGGCAGCAGCTGGAAGAAAAAGCCCTAACCATGGGAACTGATTCTCCTGAAGATAACGTACAGTAAATCAAGGCTATGACAAATCAGGAGGGGAAAAGAAGGTTCCAGTAGGTTCAGAGAGGATGTTGAAGCCTTGTTGTTTAAAAACCCTCTGGAAGGAAAGAGACTTTGTTTGACTTTATTGTAGTCACGCATTTTTGATTTTCATTCTTACAGTTTTGCTTTAGTATTAGCCTCTCACTTTCTACCTACCCTAGTGAAAAGTATAAAAAATGCAATCCAGTTCAAGATTGTGTTTTTAAAAAGTAGTATGAAGAGATATTTAGTATAATCTTCTTAAGCCAAAAACGTGAAAACAAACCTTTGCCCTTAATTGCACTGTTACTTGTTGAATTCTGCCTTCAGTATGAGTGAAATCGCAGAGGTGCCATAGAGCAAAATTGGATGAAAATTTCCAATTCCTGTCTCACCGCCACTTCATGTGATTGCCGTAATCCATCATGTTATTTCTTTGTTCTCAGTTTGCTATATTTCTATGTAAAATACGTGAAGATGTTTGAAAGGACAGAAAGATGAATGAGCTTCAGTTCCTGTCCTTAAGGATCTTATCACTGTGATTTCATAAAAGGAAAGTGATAAGTACCGTCAAATTAAGTGCTACATGAATGGTAGTGTAGGGTTTGGGAGGTACTCACGTTCCTTGAGCATCTGTGATATTCGCATGGTTTATTTCCACTCTTTCCCCCAAATTCTCTAAGATAGGTATTATATGCCTTATTTTATACTTGGAAAAGACTAAATCTCAGAAAACGTTAGGAGTTTTTCCAGTGTAGCACAGCTTGTTATGCTAGAGTCTGGCTTTGAATCAGAGGATCTATACAGTGATGATAGTTTTCATGACACTGAACTGACATTGTAAGGCTAATGAGCTCAGGATCACATCAGAGGATACTTGTCAGGAATTCATGGCACAAGTGGAATTTAACCTGTCTTGTGAAGGATGGGTTGGATTTTTTAATGTGTGCAGCAGCGGAGAGAGCACTGTTCTGGGAAGTGGGGACTGTGAAAATGTCAAGTGGGTGGACACTCCTAATGGACCTGTTTGGCTGGAACATGTCATCCATATTCGTTAACATTCATTCCTTCAGCAGGTTTAATTGAGCACCAGCAATATGGCCTGGGCCTACATAGGTGACAAATTTCTGTTCCTTAAGGAGTATGGCGTGTACTTGGAGAGGCAAACATACCCACAGAACAAGGAGAGTAATGCATATTAAGCTAGGGCTACATTTGAGGCCTGTGGACAGAGTCTAAGGCAGTGAAGAATAGGGTTCCAGGAGTCTTGTGAGAAAAATTATGTAACTGATAGACTTGGTATCCCCCCCAAACAGATGAGTAATTATGACAAGGTATTGATAAGGCTGGTTTGTTTTCATTGGCAAACTTGTAAAATTCAGTGATCTTAACTCTGAAGATAATCTTACATTGCACATTTTTTTTCCTGAAGTGTCTTTGCACCACTATAGAAGCCACAATATTTGGAAACCGCCTGATGCTTTGGAGGGGGAGGCAGAAACAGGAGGATCCCTGGGGCTCGCTGGCCAAGCCAATCTTGTTGAATAGGTAAGCTCTAGATTTAGTGAGAGACCTTGGTCAAAAAACAAGGCGATACGTGACTGATGAAGACACCTGACACTGACCTCTGGCCTTCACATCATGCACACACACACACACACACACACACACAAACACACACACACACACACACACACCCTTATGTGTATACACATGAGCACATACATATGCCCCTTCCCCAGTGAAAGAATGAAAGGATAGGGTTAGAATTTGAAAATAGCCAACGAGGAGGAAAACCATGGCCAGGGAGGAGAACAGGATGGGGATAAGATGTTAAGTCTGCTCCCTTTGCGATGAACTTGCCACCTGTTTTTTCTCATTCTTACTTCCATTTTTTAAAAACCTCATCCTTTTATTTTCTGCATCCAACTAGTCACAATTTTGTCACAGCAGTTGTGTTTGTTTCTCCCTAATTTTATGGCCAGTACCCTAATCGTGCTTTCAAATATTTTTTCCAGGATGCCCTTACCAGCTTCTGAAGTTTTTTTGTTTTTTGGCTCATTACTCTGTCAATTAAGATCTACTCTGTTCACTGTTGCATGATTAATGCTCTGAAAACAGTATTGTCATCACTCCATCAGCATGCTCAAGCTTCTGTGGATGGATTAAGTCTTTTCCATAATCTTGCTTGCCCCTGTCCAACCCCATGCCCCCTGCGGTGAGGGTGGTGGAGTGGGAGGAGAGCTGTTCTTCTCATAAGTTATTATGTGACCTTGGGCAAGACACTCAGCTTTTTTGTGTTTCAAGTTTCTGTCCTATAAAATATGAAGAATAGTGAAACTAAATATTAAAATACAAGTTATATATGGTCAATGAAAAAATTTTAGCATTTTTTAAAAAAGTACTCAGACTGGGTGTGGTGGCATATATATTTTATCCCAGCACTCTGGAGGCAGAGATAGGCTGATCTCTGTAAGGCTGAGGTCAGCCTGGTCTACATAGTAAGTTCCAGGCTAACCAGGGCTACATAATGAGATCCTTTCTCAAAAACCAAAATACTCCTTTCCAAAAATGAATTGCTAGCAGATCTTTCTTTTTACTCCTGGCCAAGACACTGTACTTTGTTCCATTTTAAGGCCCTTGTCTGTGGCTCCTGGTTAGGAATGCCTCTTCCCCTATTGTTGTGTTATTTAAACCATCCTACCTTAACTGCAGATGCTAGCCTAAATGCCATCTCCTCCGTGAGACTTCTCACTATTAGGTTGGCTCTTGGCTGTCTCTTTCATAGTTCCTATGTTGCAAAGCATACACTTTTTAATCTGCAGGCCTCATTCTTGTTCTCAAGGAAACTGACCATTTAGCTTCCTTTACAGGGGAAGGATCCCTTCTGTTCTTGCCACACCTCGTAGATACTGTTCTCCGAGTGTTTTCAGTGCCTTTCCACACTTGCTTTTCTTTGCTTTTATAACTTTTGTCTTGTACATTTTGGCATTCTTGCAAGTTGAAAATCAAAAGGCTAATCAAAAGCTATATTAATTTTGCTTGGAAAAAATTTGGCAATTTTAGATGTGAGAATGTTTTGTAAGAATGAGAAATTTGGCTGGGCGTGGTGGTGCATGCCTTTAATCCCAGCACTTGGGAGGCAGAGGCAGATGGGTCTCTGTGAGTTCAAGGCCAGCCTGGTGTACATAGTGAGTTCCAGGACAGCTGGGGCTACAGGAAAACCCTGTCTGAAAAAGACCAAAAAAAAAAAAAAAGAAATTCAAGATACTACCTAAAGATCTCAGGGTACCCCTGAATGTTTAAAGATATGTGCCTGGATAGAGATATACCTTAGACCTGCTCTTTTCCTCTTCAGTAAAAGTCATTTCTTTGATCTGTTGAGATGGTCTCGATACTAGTAAACTGCTAAGGCAGCTTTTGGGTTTTTCCTGATAGGAGAATTGATGATTCTTGTTGGCTTTTTCTTTAGCATACCCGGGAGTATGGTGCAAAGCGGGCTGACCAACGTGACCTAGTCTGGTTTCTTCTTTTGGTCCAGTTTGTTCTGTGAAAGGCAGTTGCCTACTATGAATAAGCTGCATTTGGAGGGGATTAGTGACATAGACAAGGAAGTACAAATGCAGTATCCATCTTTGTTTTCATAAAAACCTGAAAGCACCGAGTAAACCAACCCATGCATACAAACTCCGATCCTGAATGCTGAGGCTGAGCATTGCCGGAAATTCCATGTTCTTTTCC